GCAACAGACACTATGTCTTATGACCCATCCGACTTTATATCTTTCCATCCCACTAAACGTACCCAAATACAAACTGCTAATGGGGAATTAATTCCTATTGATCGAGCCGGAAAAGTTGATGTTTCACCCAATATTCATTTAAACGACTGTCTTTTAATTCCTAGTCTTTCTCATAAACTCTTATCTGTTAGTCAATTAACTAAGGAACTTGATTGTACTGTTTTACTAACATCCTCTGGTTGTATGGTACAGGAAGCTCAGACGGGACGGATTATTGGGAGTGGTACTGAACGAGGAGGATTGTACTTCTTGGATGAGGCGACTCAACACGGCAATGCTTTGCTTGCTCATGGGTCCCCGGAATATCAACTATGGATGTGGCATCGCCGGCTAGGTCACCCTTCTGTAGGTTATCTTAAACGACTATTTCCTTCTTTTAAAAACATTGATGTAACTTTGGACTGTGAATCGTGTGCCTTAGCCAAAAGTCATAAACATACTTATTCTCCTAGTTTGACTCATGCTATCAAACCTTTTATGCTTATTCACTCAGATGTTTGGGGTCCTGCCCCAGAGTTTGCAATCCATAATTTTTCATACTTTGTTTTATTTGTGGATGACTGTACTCGTATGAGTTGGGTATATTTCTTGAAACACAAATCTGAAGTATTTGATGTGTTTGTTAAATACTATAATATGATTCGTACCCAATTTAATGCAAAACCACAAATTCTTAGATCAGATAATGGGGGGGAATATATAAACCTAGATATGGAACAATTTATTGCTGACCAGGGACTTGTTCACCAAACATCCTGTCGTGATACCCCTCAACAAAATGGAGTAGCAGAAAGGAAAAACAGGACTTTATTAGAAATTACAAGGGCAATTATGATTGAATCGGGAGTTCCTGTTTTTCTTTGGCCTGAAGCCATAGCTACCTCCACATACCTTACAAACAGACTTCCCACAAAAACCCTTGACTACGAAACTCCCCTTGACACCCTTTCTTCACACACCACCATCCCATCCTCTCACTCCCTACCACCAAGAGTGTTTGGATGTGTTGTATATGTCCACCTACCAAAGATTTATAGAAACAAACTGGAACCAAGGGCTATTAAATGTGTCTTTATCGGATATGGGGTTCACCAGAAAGGATACCGATGCTATGATCCGACTACAAGGAAAATACACACTACCCTTGACTGTGAGTTTTTTGAAAAATCCTATTATTACACCCAGCCTGGTCCTCAGGGGGAGACTAGTAGTGATGACCTTAGCTGGTTGACATATCCAGAAGTGATGGACCTTGAGGATCCAACAACCCAAGTAGACAGTACCACCGATGTTGCTTCTCCAGAGGTAACAGTTCCCTCATCTCCTCTTCAGTCCACACCAGATTCACCTACTGAGCATCCAACCGAGGATGTAGTTATATCAAGTGAGGTAAACACAGAAAATTCTGACCTTTGTGATTTACCTATAACTGATCCTGTTGTTCCTAGTGAAAATTGTCCGAACAGATATGAGTTACCTCCTAGAAGAACTAGAGGAGTTCCTCCAAAGAGGTATGATCCAGAATATGAGGATTCCCGATCCAGATATCCTATAGGAAAAATCAGCAACGAGAATCTTGCCAGTAATGCTATCGCATTTACAGCTTCCCTATACTCTACTGAGATTCCTAAAACAGTGGAAGAAGCTCTTGCTAGTAAGGATTGGAGAAAGGCTATGGAAGATGAATACTTGGCTCTAGAGAAGAATGAAACTTGGGAGAAATGTGTTCTCCCAAAGGGAAAAAGAACTGTGGGGTGCAAGTGGGTTTTTACTGTGAAGTACCGGGCAGATGGTACAATTGAGAGACACAAAGCAAGGCTGGTAGCAAAAGGTTACACTCAGACATATGGAATTGACTATTCGGAGACTTTTTCACCAGTAGCAAAATTAGATACTATTCGGGTTCTGTTCTCTATTGCAGCAAACCAAGATTGGCCTCTTTATCAATTCGATGTAAAAAACGCTTTCCTTCACGGGAACCTTGCTGAAGAAGTCTACATGGAAGCTCCCCCAGGATATGCTGAAACATTTGAAGTAGGAGAAGGGTGCAGATTGAAGAAGGCTCTATATGGCTTAAAACAATCTCCTAGGGCATGGTTTGGGAGATTTACAAAGGCCATGAAAGTTTTTGGGTACTCTCAAAGTAACTCTGATCATACTCTATTTTTGAAGAAAACAAAGGGAAAAATCACATGCTTAATCATCTATGTGGATGATATGATCATTACTGGTGACGATGAGGAAGAAATAACTAATTTGAAGAAAAAACTGTTCCAGGAATTTGAAATGAAAGATTTGGGTAACCTGAAATATTTCCTAGGAATAGAAGTACTAAGATCTAAACAAGGGATCTTTATTCATCAAAGGAAATATATACTTGATCTATTGGCCGAAACAGGAATGTTAGGGTGTAAACCAGCAGAAACACCGATTGTTGCAAATCATGGACTTCAAATCTTAGAAGGAGAGAAAGCAACCAACAGAGAACAGTATCAGAAGATTGTAGGGAAACTCATTTATCTAGCCCACACAAGGCCAGATATTGCCTACGCAGTAGGGGTTGTGAGTAGATTTATGCATATGCCTCAAGTTCACCACATGACAGCTGTAATGAGAATATTGAGATACCTGAAAAATACTAGCACCACTGGGATCTACTTTGACAAGAATGATAACCTGGATTTAGTTGCATACACTGATGCAGATTGGGCAGGAGACCGGGATGGTAGAAAATCGACTTCAGGGTACTTTACCTTGGTAGGAGGAAATCTGGTCACTTGGAGAAGTAAGAAGCAGAATGTTGTAGCCTTATCAAGCGCAGAAGCAGAATTCAGAGGAATTGCAAAAGGGATAACTGAAATTCTATGGATTCGGAAGCTAATGAATGAACTTGGCTTTCCTCAGAAGACAACATGTAAACTGTTTTGTGATAACAAAGCAGCTATAAGGATTTCGGAAAATCCAGTGCAACATGATAGAACGAAACATGTAGAAATTGATCGACACTTCATCAAAGAGAAATTAGAAGGGGGAATTGTTGAACTTCCATTTGTTCGATCAAAAGATCAACTTGCAGATATCTTGACCAAAGCGGTCAACTCTGAGGCCTTTAAAGAAGCACTTAGCAAGTTAGGCATTGGAGTACTGGATGCCCAACTTGAGGGGGAGTGTAGGAAATAAGTGATTCTCCTTAATCAAAGGAGTTAATTAGGTTGTAATTATGTTAGGAATATATTCTGCTTAGCTGTATTTCCTTATTTATCATAGCTCTTTGTGTATAAATGTAATGATAACCAAGAGTAATAAATATACAGAAATTGAAAACCAAAAACACAATTCCGCTTATTTTACACATATAAATCATATTGATATACCGTAAAGTAATTCAAATTACATATTTGCATGTGATGGATTTGTACTAATCTTCTTCATTGATACATTTGGAACTTCATAATCAAAAGAAAAATGCAAAAAATTAAAATTAGGAATCGAAAAGTAGAGTAAAACCTAGAAAATTGAGAGGATTTGTAATGGTGAAAAATTGATCCCAAAAGAGAAAGAAACTGGGAACAAAAAAGAGAAATTGAGAGCAGAAGAGAGAGAAAGTTGGGTGAGAAATGAAGAGGAAAGAGAATGGAGAGTGAAATTGAAGAACAAAGGAGATAGAAAAAAACAAAATTAAAAGAAATTAAAGGCTTTTTTTTAACTTTTGTGAAGTATCAATCGATTTAATTGAACTTATTTTGTCTGATTTTGCATCACACGTTTAAGGCTAATGGCTAACAGGCTAAGTTAGGTCCAATGTTCAAGTTCAACATCACACGTATTTGGATAATTTAATTTTGGCCTTGGTTACATCAAAGGAAAGAAATATAATCACAATAATATTTAAGTAAATCAGCCACAAATAGTATGATGAAATACTACTCGTATGTATTTGTTGTGTATGGAATAATTTAACATGGACAAACGTGGTGCAAATTAAAATGATACTCATACTCATAGTAATCATATAGGATGGAGTAATTCAAAATTGGTGGCACTCTTAAGGGATAATTATATTTCCTTTTTTTTATGGTAAAATTTGGAATTTTACACCATTTATACCGTTTAAATTTTTTTAGTTTACTCATAATAGAAAAGATATATGGAGTGGTTATTTCAGATGTTGAGACTTTTTGTGAGAAACTACTTAATAAAACTCAAATTTTATGAGAAATACCTAATAAAAAAATTACTATAAAAAACTACCTAATAAAAAGGTAAGTAAAATGTTGTAAAATATACTACCTATGGCCAAAGATCCTCTATTTGTTGACCAAATTTTTCGGCATTGAACCACCACTAAACACCCTTGAAATCACCGCAAGGGTTGTTTTCAAGGTGGTAAGACTGTTTTCAAGGTGGTTTAGGGATACTCCGAGTCAGTGGGGTTATTTTCAGGCTATGAGATGGTAGTTCTGAGGGTGTTTTGAGGTGAGTCAACGTTGTTAGGTCAATGGTGGAAATCTGGTCATAGGTAGTATTTTAAATTATAACAATTTATTCCCTAAAAGTAGTTTCTTCCAACATTTTTATTTATAAAGAAGTTTTCCACAAAATCTAGGTTTTATTAGGTAGTTTCTAACAAAAAAATAAAATAAAATAAAAAATCTAAGACCTTATTAGATTTGTCTCCTAATATACTTATATTATATCAACTTTCTATAATTTTTACTACGATACAACTTAAATTAAGATATTATTAAAGTTATAAAAATGAAATCTCAAAAGTTTGATTTAATAAAATGGAGGAAGTATTTGTAAATTGTTATCGCCATGTTTAATTGTCTAATTACACAAATATACTTATTACTTGTTTTTTTTATTACATATTAAGTTGAGCATTTACCTAGATTTCAATAATATTAGCCGAATTCTCACAAGTTTTATATCATCAGAATTGGAATGAACAAAAAAGACAAAGATGGAGAAGAGTTTAAAACACTAATAGCAGATATGGCAGCAGCATCATCTGGCTTTTCAATTGGAGACTTATATCCGTCATTGAAATTTATAAGTACAATTAGTGGAATGAAAGGGCAACTTCAAGATATTGTCAAGAGAATTGACACATTGATGGATCCTATAATTGAAGAGCATATGGCTAAGAAAAAACAAGGTATTAAAGACCAAGACGAAGACTTGATTGATGTTCTTCTAAATTTCCACAAAGACAACCTACGTCTTAACACCGATTTTTCTCTTACTACCAACAACATCAAGGCCATAGTTGTGGTAAGTTCCGCTAAATTAATTGCTTGCATCAATTGTTTTTTGATATGTATAAGGCCGTCCTGTTCATTTCACCTTATTTTTACTGAATTGAAACTATTTTTGCTAAACTTAAATTATTTTTTGCTGAACTGAAATTATTTTTATTGATTTTCTATTATATTTCTTCTTTGAGTTTACTAATTTTTACTGAACTGAAATTATTTTTACTGAACTGAATTTATTTTTTTTTGAACTGAAATTAATTTTACTAAAATGAAATTATTTTTACTGAATATTTTTTTTTTTTTTTCAGTTAAAGTGAACAAGTCTTAGTCATTTTAACTAGAAGTGTTACTACCTTCAGTCTACCTCTGCCTATAAATAAGTGAAACATTTTTTGGTTTTGGTTTTTAGGAGTTATATTTATCGTTGGTGATTTTTCTTTCTCTATGTTTCTTTATCACAAGGGCTTCATCATGTTCATTTCGTGTCACATCCTAGGGTTTTACTTATTTTCAATGGAAGAAGTAATTCTTGATGATTGCGATGCAAATTAATAAAATCTAACATAAATTAAGATCATATTCTTATAAAACTAAGCAAAAAATTATGTAGGGGCAAGTAATAATTCTAATAAGATGTCACACACTTAGTTTTAATGTCTATTATAGAATAAGATTATATGCATTAATGTAAATTATGTAGGAGTTGTTTGGTGGTGGAAGTGATAAATCTTCAACTGTAATCGAGTGGGCAATCTCTGAGTTGTTAAAGAATCCTACAAAGATGGCAAAGGCTCAAGATGAGGTGAGACGAGTATTGCAAGGAAGTGAGACAATAATTAATTATGAGGCAAATCTAGATAAGCTCAAGTATTTGAAACTCGTAATCAAAGAAACTTTAAGGCTTCATCCCCCTTTCCCTTGCTTGGTCCCAAGAGAGTCCTTAACGAGATGTGAAATTGATGGTTATGAAATACCTACGAAAACCCGAATTTTCATTAATGCATGGGCTATTGGAAGGAATCCGAAACATTGGACAAACCCAGAAGAGTTTAATCCCGAAAGATTTGAAGAATCTTCAATTGATTACAAGGGAATGCATTTTGAGCTAATTCCATTTGGCTCTGGAAGGAGGGTGTGCCCAGGAATGGGACTAAGTATCACCACAATCGAGCTCGTGCTAGCCATGTTGCTATATCATTTTGATTGGAAGTTACCTTATGGGATTGGACCCGAAGAATTGGACATGGATGAGAATTTTGGCATAGTAGGGAGGAGGAAGATTGACTTGCAAGTAATTCCTTTGCTATACACTTTCTCAGGTTTCAAATGATATAAATAGCATTTTTGTTGCTATATAAATAAACCATCTTGGTTTTGTATGGCAATAATCTAATACAAAGTATTTTCTTTCAAATAAGTGATCTCGGGATCATACTTCATTACTTGTAATATTTACATGTATGTTTAATTATTAATGGTCTTTTGTTTCAAATTATTTTATCTTATTTTGTCTCATTTTTGACAAAATATTATCTGATAAACTCAAACAAAATGACAATGTTGACGGGTATTGATCTTGTCTTGTGTATTATCCCCCAAGGCATTATCCTATTAAACTGTGCTAGTTGTTGGTCCACTAAATCAATGTTATTATGATGTATTTATATTATAACTCCAACATGACGTAGTAGGTGGTCTTTTACCATATTTTACTAGGTAGTTTTTTACAATATTTTTATAATTCAGTAGTTTATCACATATATTGAATTTTATAGGGTGATTTTTGACAAAAAAAAAAAAACTTAATTCTTACTATAAATCAATACTTACTCGGCTACTCCCAATATACTTATAAATAAATTAAACCAAAAAAGGAATTACTCCCACATGTTTTGATATTTATGTGTTCCATCTATATGTCACTTGCCACAAAAAATAAATAAATAAATAAATCAAGTCCATATATTCTTATAGATAAACAAAAAAGAATTTCTTCCACATGTTTATTTTTTTTCACATGTTTATAATATCTAGTTATCTACTACATCTATTCAAAAAAATAATATCAACTAGTCTACTATGTACGTATATATGTCAGCATCACTTGTCACTCCAACGTTAATAATGATGAATCAAGTTCTATCAATCTAATCCCATAAATTATATACAAGTACTTAATACTCCCAAAAAATAAACAAAAAAATTAAATTAAATTAAAAAAAAAATAATAAATAAATAAAACTATTCTCCCACATGTTTGTATAAATAGTTCCATTTAACTGATAAAATCAATCAAAAATAAAACACAAAAATGGAGCCTTTTTGGTTAGTATCACTACTCTTCTTCATCCTTTCATTCTTTATACTTGTCAACTTTATTAAGAAACAACAATCACCTAAAAATCTACCACCAGGGCCTCCAAAGCTACCTTTGATAGGCAACCTTCATCAACTAGCATCAAAAACCACCCTCCCACACCGCCGCCTCGCCGAGCTAGCGAGTATGCACGGCCCAATCATGCACCTCCGCCTAGGAGAAGTGACAAATTAGAGAGAATTAGAAATTAATTGGAATAGAATTGTTTGCCTTCTCATTAATCAAATTGGGAAATATATAGGAGATACAAATCCTAGTCCTACTATCACAAGATATCTTAGGATCTTAGGAAAATAACTAAAATAGAAAAGATATTATTTGGAAATATTCTATCATATCAAAATAATATAATATCATATCTCATACCCCCCTCAAGTTGGAGCGCTTGGATCGTAAGTGCCCAACTTGAAAAGAAGATAATCAAACTGTGCTTTCCCAAGAGCTTTTGTAAAAATGTCCGCAAGCTGTGAAGAAGTCGGAACATGAGATGTAGATAACCACCCCTCAGTAATTGCATCACGAACGAAGTGACAATCAATCTCAATGTGCTTTGTCCATTCATGAAAAATCGGATTCTTTGCAATGTGCAAAGCCGCTTCATTATCACAAAATAACTTAATAGCCTTTGGATGGTGTACTCCAAGACTTAACAACAAAGCCTTCACCCATTTCAGCTCTTTAGAACACGAAGACATGCACCTGTATTCGGCCTCCAAAGAAGAGAAGGAGACCGTGGGTTGCTTCTTGGTTTTCCACGAAATAGGTGATTTACCGAGAAAAACAAGCCAACCAGATAAAGATCGGCGAGTCAGGGGACAAGCAGCCCAATCTGAATCACACCAACCCTGCAGATTTAAATCACAATCAGAGCTCAACAAAATACCCCGTCCGGGAGTCCCTTTCAAGTACCGAACCACCCTTAAAGCAGCATCCCAGTGTTCACTACGTGGTTGCTGCATAAACTGAGACAAAATATGAACAGAGTACGCCAAATCAGGACGCGTTACAGTAAGATAAATTAGACGACCAACAAGTCGCATGTAAGGCTCCGGATCAGAGAGAATTGCGCCAGTGGCTAAACCTAACTTGTGGTTTTGCTCCACTCTCCCATTCTGTTGAGGGGTTCCCACACATGAAGTTTGGAAAATAATTCCAGTAGCGACAAAAAAAATCAATCAAGCAATTAAATTCGGTTCCATTATCACTTTGAACGATTTTAATTGTTTGATTAAATTGCCTCTCAACCATAGAAACAAAAGCCATAAACATCTGAAAAACCTCTGTTTTATCAACCAACAAATAAATCCATACAACTCTTGAATAATCATCAACAATAGTTAAAAAATAACGAGCCCCACACGACGAAACATGACGATATGGACCCCATAAATCACAATGTACTTTCTCAAAAATTCTTGATGTTTTATTTTCACTCGAGGGGAATTTGTCTCTAGGATGCTTAGCACGAAAACATACTTCACAACCTTTATTTAAAGTACTTTTATTGCTAATGTGCGGAAGTAACTTAACTATTTTCTCCGAAGGATGCCCCATTCTTCTATGCCAAAGCTCCAAATCTGAAGTTGCTTCAACCACAGACACACGTTGCACCACATCCGACTTGCCAAAGAAATAATATAGTCCATCTCGCCTAATTCTCGTTCCAATCAACTGCTTCAATCGGTCCTGTATAGCACACATATATGAGAAATTGGACAACAACATTTAATTGATCACTGAGTTGTGTAACAGAAATTAAATTGCAATTAAGATGTGGCACAAAAAGAACTCCAGAGATAGTTATTTGATCGGATAATTTGACCGATCCCTCCAAAGTAGCAAGAACACTGTCACCATTCGGCAATCCAACGGGGCATTCAATATAACGAGTGTCAAATAACCAAGATTTATTGCCGGTAACATGATGAGTAGCTCTGGTATCTATAATCCAACAAGTATCATCAAATTGACGATGTAGATGATTTTCATGAATTTTTGCATTACCCACAATTATAGGTAAGGGGGACGGAGGTGATGTCTCACCACTGGCCATGGTTGTGATTTTTGAAGGGAAAAAAAATTAACCTGCTCTTGATACCATGACAAATTAGAGAGAATTAGAAATTAATTGGAATAGAATTGCTTGCCTTCTCATTAATCACATTGGGAAATATATAGGAGATACAAATCCTACTCCTAGTATCACAAAATATCTTAGGATCTTAGGAAAATAACTAAAATAGAAAAGATATTATATGGAAATATTCTATCATATCAAAATAATATACTATCATATCTCAATAAGAAGTGTCTACGGTGATCATTTCCTCGGCGGAGATGGCGAAAGAAGTGATGAAAACTCATGATGCTTTGCTTTGTAATAGGCCATCAATATTATTGGCCGAAGTAGCGTTCTATAACCTTAGTAACCTCGCTCTTAGTCCCTACGGAGACTACTGGCGCCAAGTTGGTAAGATCACCACCCTTGAGCTCTTTACGGCCCGCCGTGTTCAGGTGTTTCGGCCCATAATAGAGGATGAGGTGGTGGATTTTGTCAAGTTTTTAGCTTCTCAGTCTGGCTCCGTGGTTAATGTTAGTAGCAAGATATTTTCTATCTTGTTTAACATCACTTTAAGGTACGTTTTGTCTTGATTCTATGAAAATTAACCAGCGTTTTGTCTAATTTAAAGGAAAAATATACTTTAATAATTATTGATGATTTACTTTTAATAATCTCAACTAATTAAATATTTTTTTTTAAAATAATCCTTAGTTATTCTTACTATGTTATGACTTTTCATCTAGTAATTCCAACCGGTCAACACCAAATCAATGACTTTATGTAACAGTCAAGCAATACACATGTCAGCACCTAATTGGTCTAAAATTAAAAAAAAAAAAAAAAACTAGCAACCACCACCCCTCCCCTCTGCCACTGTGAAACCCAAGGGCCAACCCCCAGCCCATCAAAAAATGGTCAACCGTCTCCCCTAAACCTCGAAAGCAGTCAGCCGACCACTCCCAACCCTCGGAACGAACCACCTTTGCATAGCCCACTCCAAGCCGAAACTAAAGAAGAGAGAGAACTTTATTAAATATACGATGTATATTTGATTATAACGCATTTTCATATAGATATACGATGCACATATATAATTTTTCGTTTTTAAATAATTTAAATTCTAATATCTAAAGATAAATTTTTAGTTCTTTATAAAGTTGGATAATTTTTTTTTTAAATAATTCAAGTCCTAATAAATCACTATTCGTTGTTTTGTAAAGGAAAAATTACTCAGATAATCCCACCTTTTGGGCGTCCGCCCAAAATAATCACACCTTTTGGTTATTTTTAAATAATACGACCTTTATACCTAATCCGCTCAAAATGGTCCAAAGTGACCTGTAACCGGTTGATTAGGTAATTAAAGGATATGGACTTAGGGCCTGTTCTCATTGACTGAACTCAGCTGAACTGAACTGAACTAAACTGAACCGAGCTGAGCTGAACTGAACTAAACTAAACTGAACTAAAATGAATATTTTATAAGAGAAGGAAATTAGGAGCTGAACTGAACTGAACTGAACTGAATTTCAACGTAAGAGAACATGCCCTTAATGCATAAGCTCTTTTCCTAATCCTAATAGGATAGATTAAGTTTTTTATTTTGGGCCACATTATGTTGGGTTAGGTGAAGATAGACTGTGTTCACTCAAAATTGAGCTAATATTATTATAACACTATTGGCAAACTATGGTTAGTAGATAGGAAAATGATTTTAATTTAAAATAGATCTTATTCATTTAATAGAGTTCCAATAAATTCTACATAAAATAGTTTATATAATAATAAAAATCAAAATAAATATCCGTATACATTTTTTTAAAAAGAATACATATAACTATAATTTACTTTAAAATATGGGCGATTATAGGGTATAAAGGTCGGATTATTTAAAAATAACCCAAAGTTGGGATTATTTTGGGTGGACGTCCCAAAGGAGATTATTCCGAGCAATTTTCCCATTATTCTTAAATATAATTTGTCACTTTTTCTTAGGAGGTGAATGATTTTTTTTATTCTAATTAAAAACAAAATATAAATCTAATTTT